AGGTAGAATTCCAATTGGAAGAAGACAAAAAGAACCAAGAACGACTCACTGAACTCATCGACAAACTGCAGGCCAAGCTCAAAGTTTTCAAGAGACAGGTTGAAGAAGCAGTACGTACATTCTTATACGTCTAGAGATGTGCCAAAACTCAAAAAGCAATTATACATTTCCAGGAAGAAGTCGCCGCCACCAATCTTGGAAAATACCGCCAACTACAGGCTCAACTTGATGACGCTGAGGAACGTGCAGATGTTGCCGAGAACGCGCTGAGCAAAATGCGCAACAAGGTGGGTATAGACCCCCGCTTAATTTCATATTCTACCAAGGGTCACAAAACTAAATCACTCTATCACTCTGCATTCTTTCAGATTCGCGCTTCCGCCTCAATGGTGGTAACCTCTGGACCTGGTGGATTGGCGCAGTCCTCTAGCTCAGCCGTCCTCCGAAGCAGCTCGTTTGCCAGAGGTGGCAGAGGAAGCGAAGAATTCTAAGCCAATTGCTTTTGACCTTTTTTTATTTAAAATTCATAACCCTTTGCATTTATGTTGCGCTATTTGGCCTCTGGCAAAAGTGCTCAATTCATGTGTATCCATCTGGAAGTGTTGTTTAATGTTTTCCTCAAATTCCATTCTTTTGCGATATCAAAGCTTAGTGAAATGTACCTGATTGTCTAAGGCTATGGTCATAGTCATACGAGCGCTCTAGTCATGTGTATTATATCCCCATACGAGACGATAAACATTCTCAAAATATTCGTTGCACATCGCACTTGATGTTATTCATGATATAGCATTGACCTTAACACTTAATGACTTTTATGGAAGTCGAAATATATACCTCGTAACACATCAGTATCAAAATAATGAATAAATAAGTTGCTTTGTAATAGCAACGCACGCACGAAACTGTTATTAAAACGTTAATCAGCCAGATGAAGAGAACTCAGTTGAGTGGGTCTCTATGCCGTTTTCACCCTCCAGTTTCGTAACAAGAGTTGAGAGTACTTCAATAACATCGCTTGCTTCTTGCAACTCACTATTCAATCCGTTCAGGACGAAACGATTCTAAACAAATAAATATAGAAGGAGGACTTATGAAAAGGGTTTCTTTTTCAACTGTGATCTAAAGTTTGGGAAGAAGAACTCCTCCAACAGAAGCAGATTGTTCTATTTATTCAATTCCAACTACCATTACATTTACAAGATAGTTTATGTCATACAGTAATTTTTTTAGAGGCGAACCATCAAACTACTCTTCTCCTTCATTAACTAAGACAGAAACCAAAAACAAAACAGATACGTGATTATTGAGAGCTCACCCAAAATTCAACAGAAAATTCTCTTTGCACCACAAGCCATGAAATTGGATATAATGCAAAACCAATAATATTCGTGTAATCACCAATACTAGGGGATATTTTCGATTAGAGTACAAATTCATCCACCTTTCCATTGAATATCAGTTATTGCTGTATTAGGTCAAAATTAACCAGTCAAGCAAATTTCCAACAGTGTAATTGACTTCTCAAAATTGGAAAATGTCTTCAATTCTTAGAGATAGCTTCGCCGATATGCAAAACATGTTTAGAACAAGATTTTGGCAATGAACCTCCGTTCTTGGCTGAAGCCCCTACGTGATGTTTATCACATTAGAGATAGGTCATTGAGAGAAGTATTATGATATGATCATAATTTTATTTAACATTATTGTGATACTATTGATCATATGAATTCGTCTTCTCAAGGGTGTGTTTTCTTCATATTGAGCATTTTATCAGTCTCATACCTAAACTGCAACAACTATTCAAAATTGGCTGAGTCCTTCTCTCATAGATGATACAGCCAAACGCTGTCAAATATTATCTCTAGAAGTCAGTGAATGGAGAGAAATGACTTCATCTTTTACGCTATATTGCAGATATCTTCATAGAGAAAGAGCCTTCGCAGAAAAGCAAAACCAGAATCGCTGAAGTCCTCAACAATCAAGTTTGAAGCAGGTTTAGGTATCCTCTCCTAACTTGTATGGGCGCTACATTTTATTCAAACCTCAATAATACGCTCCGCAAGATTCTCGCAGTCGCCCTCTATCTCCGAAACTGCCATAAACTCTGGGTCATCCGAGAGTGTCAGTCTGTAACTGGCCTCGTGTTCTGGAAGCGTCACATATCGCGGAATACGGAAGATGTATTTGAGGACGCGATCCTACAAAAGTTGGAGTGACGTTAGACGTTAAACAAGCACTAATTTTTGCAAGTATAACAACACGCCTGACATTTCGCTCCACACCACGATCACTCATATATCCCTTTCTGGATTTATTTGTAATGTGTAATCACATACCATGCAAAATGTAATTCAATTAACAATAGCTAAAGAGGCAACTTACAGTAAAAATGCTAAAGGCATCTTTGACTTCACTGCGGTAAAAAATCAGACCTATAGTTTCTTCCATGAATTTCTTGTTGTTTGCAACCTGCAAAAGACAGGTAGTACTTTTGGAAGATTCGTTTATATATAATCTAACCGTGGTCAACAAAGATTCTGAATAAATCCACTCCTTAACAGCTTCCTCCCATGACTTCACAGCGCGATTGTAAACTTTGAAAGGAGACAAAGT